GGAGGCTTAGAGGGTACGCGAGGTCAGGTCGTGTGCATGTCATCAGGTACATGAGGCAACCCACAAGCTTTGGATACGGACCACTCGGCTCTACGGACTCGTCCGAAGGTGGAGCTGAGAGCGAGTGGCCGGTAGACAGAGGAGTGGGCTGTGGCGAGGAGAACTGGAAGCCGAAGCGCTGAAGGACCTGGTGCACCATGTGTGACTAAGTCAGGGTGATGGTGCGCCGTGCTCTGTCCCGGGTGATCTGCAAGCCAAGATAGCTCCGCAGCTCACCCAGATTAGTCTAGGTATATCTCTTCTGCAGCTCCGACTTCACAAGGGTCAGTGCCTCAGTGTCAGCAGTAGCAAAAACCAATTCATCGACGTACACGAGAACGTAGAACGGTGGCCGGGAAGTGTCGGTGCGTAGAAACAGCGACGGCTCAGCAGAAGAAGGAGCAAACCCAAGAGCTGCAAGTGTCGTCCTCAGTGTGTCGTGCCACTCGCGGGGCGCCTGGCGGAGACCGTAGACTTGCCGCTGGAGGCTGCAACGTGCAGCAACACCCAAAGAGTAGTCATCTTCGGGGTGGGGGAGAAGGTCTGGAAGAAGTCGACCCCCTGTCGCTAACTGAAGCCTCGAGCAACATAACGCGCCTTGAAGGCAGGCGGAGAACGCGGCCTCTGGAGGAGGAACCTCGTCGACATATGTGCCTGTGGACTTCCAGGAAGCCATCTCTTCATCCATGGCTGTCTGCCACTGAGACGAGTACTCACCTGCGATCGCCTCAGCGTAAGTGCGCGGGGTAGGGATGTCAAGTGCATCCGGGTCTCCCTTAGGGCAAAGCAGCATGGATGCGAAACGAGGTAAAGCGGTCGCAAGACACTTAAGCTCGAACTGTCTGTCCTCAAGGACGTCACAGCCAAGGGCACGCTCACCCTCGACGAACGGAGGACAGACAGACTCAGACTCAGTAACAAGACTCGCGATGTAGTTGAGACGACTCCTAGCAGCAAAGTCGACTAGCTCAATGACTAGCGCAAACGCAGCAGTATACTCAAAGTCAGGGTCAGTGACGAGAATAGTGAGGAGCCGAGTGACAGTAGGTTTCGCAGCACGAGTAAGGTAGGACTCAGGTTCAGGAACATCAGGAAGAGAGGACGCCAGAGGAGACGGCAGGGCAAACGCTGTGGAACAAAGGAAGGACGAAGTGCCATAACGTGAGTGCCTGGGACAGCAGGAGGATGAGGACGGGCGACACGACGAGCACGAACAGGTGTGGAAGCACGAGTCTCAGGCTCACGATGCTCAGTCAGGGACTCAGTCACCTCAGTGTGAGGAGTAGGAGTAGGCAGCTAGGAGTGAGGCAGTAGCTGTGGCTGAGACTGGTCTGTCGGTGGACACAAGAGAGGTGGAGTGAGGCCAGTGGAAGACGAGAGACTAAGAACCTAGCGAAGGGCCGAGTCAGGCGGTGGCAGGGATGACTGCTGCTGTGGGTAGAAAAACGGTCGGCTTGCGTAGTACCCGTACCGTCAGTAGCTCCAGCACCTCCAGTACCACCAGTACCTCCAGTAGCACCTCCAGCACCAGCAGCAACACCAGCTCCAGCAACTCCAGCACCTCCAGTACCCCTAGTACTACCAGCTCCAGTACCTCCAGGATCAGCAGCACCACCAGCTCCGGCAGCTCCAGCACCTCTAGTACGAGCACCTCTAGGACCAGCAGCTCCAGCACCTCCAGGACCTCCAGTACCACCAGCTCTAGTACCTCCAGCACCAGCAGCACCACCAGCTCCGGCAGCTCCAGCACCTCTAATACGAGCACCTCCAGGACCAGCAGCTATAGAACCTCCTGGACCTCTAGTACCACCAGCTCCAGTGCCTCCGGCACCAGCAGCACCTCCAGCACCCGCATCTCCAGCACCTCCAGCACCACCAGCTCCAGCAGAACCTCCAGTAGTACCTCCAGCACCACCAGCTCCAGCACCTGCAGCACCAGCAGCTCCATCATCTAGGTAACTCCAAGCTCCAGCACCGGAGCGGCCTCGCCGAACGACCCACTCACGAAGCTACTGCGGTGAGGGTGTCTCGAGTCGACTAGGTGGCTGCTGCTGTCCAACACCAGGACCTGCAGCAGGAGCACCCACGGCCCCTCCACCACTAGGACTCACAGCACCCCCAGCCTCAGCACCCCCAGAATCAGTACCCCCAGTCTCAGCACCCCTAGGACGAGCACCTCCTGCGTCCTCACCCCCAGTGTCACCACCCCTAGCAGCACCAGTGTCCACAGCTACATGCTGCAGAGGTGGTGAAGACGGTCGAGGCGGAAAATCAGGAGGGGTCTCCAAGCGTGGAGAGCGACGAGTGACTGCCGTGTCATCAACGGCAATGTCACCCCCCTCAGCTGGGCCAGAGGAGTCGGAAGAGATCTCCAAATGCTCAACCAAGGGGGGTGGGTCTACCTGAGACACACCTGAGGGAGCAGGACCCTGTGGGGGGAGGGGGTCTACCGGAGGGGGAA